GCCTGAGCTTTTGCGCCTGACCCCCTTAACTTACCTTCAATATTCAAAAACCGCTCCTTTTTTAGTATGAGTATTGAGAGCAAAGCCTCTTCTTGCTATGTTGAAAATTTGGAGCCGAACACTCCACCCCTGCAAAAACTATAACTCTGAAAAGAGGGCTATCCAAGTTCTAAACTTGCCGTCAAGTTGCGTGTGGTTGTGCAATCGCAGAAAGTTGGGCCTGCTGCCAAAAAACAAGAAACCTCCAGTAAAGGCTGGTTTTCTTCAACATAACACAGTCTAAGGTCCTGGAGTTGAAGTGGAGGGGTCATTTTAGGGGCTTTCACAGGGGGGGGGGGGTCGTTTTTGAACGACTAGCGCCTGACCTCTTGTTCAACCCTGCATACTACGGCCAGTAGCCATTGCTTCTTTCTGAAACTTTTACAGCGTTTGAAGAAAAGGCCACAATCCTTTGTTACCCATTGCAATTCTCGATGTGTGCTTGGGTAGGAAGTTACCCACGAAAACTGGGCATCGGAACCCACGATTTCTGGGTAAGGAGTTTCTTGAATACCGGTATTGGGTAGGCTAACCCATCGAAGCTGTTCGTGAATACCGGTATGGCGGCATTTTGTGGGTTAGCCGACCCAGCGGTAGACTTAACCCACTGAGTTCGCTTACCCAGCAGCGTCGTGAATACGGTTTCGTGGGTTGAGGCTACCCACTGGGTAGGATAACCCACTGGGTTTCGTTGATGAATACGGCCACTGGACTGGCTGTTGGAAGGCGAGGCTAATCGGTGGTGAGATGTGACCTAATCAAGGCCGCCACCGCCCGCGACGCACCCGGCGTCTCTCTCAAGCCCTTGCTTTCTGATCATTCTCTAGTCTTAACCAGGTCACGAAGCCCCGCCTTCCAGCCACCAACCCTGTTGAATTAAAGGTAAACGCAAGAGCAAACGTTTTAGAATTGCAATGTCTTTACAATTTTTAGGCGACTTACAAAGATTGCAACCACGGGTTATACGCTGCAAATTCTAGCTCGAAACTTTTCAAAAATTGTACCTCAATGAACGGTAGCATAAGCTTGCGGAAAACGTTACAAAAATTTTCAAATTCGTTTTTTGCCAGCTGATTTTAGAAAGGTAGAGTAAAAAGAATTAATTCTATACGCTCGTTGTTTTTCTGAAGCACGCCTCACAAAATGAACGAAGCTTTACAAATACATGTCATATATGAAATCCAGACAAAGCGGTCTTTCGATTGTTTCAAACAATGTTAGCGAAAAATAGATATTTTTCCCAAAACTAGCATTCCAAAAAGAGACATAAAACCGAAGGCTTTTGAAACAACCATTAAGGATGTAAGGTTATAGAGCACTTACAAGGAAGGATGCCTCCCTGGACTCCAACACTCTGAGGCTTACAGAGTACGCTGCTTTTGACATAAACGCTGGAAACTGAAATATAAATTGAGTAGCCAGTTTGCTTAGACTGATCCGTACAATAAGTGTTAGTTACTCAAAGTCTTATCTTTTTTGTTTCACTTTTAAAATAACGAAGAGAAGGAAGAGGATAGGCAGCTGCGAACTAAACGAACAGATTGCATTCACTAGACATGCTCAAACAGCTCAGACAACTGGCCGGAACTTCCGCGGAACGTTTGGGAAAGTTCCGCCGTGTTACCTGCGAAAGTACCATGTGCTGCGGAAGTTCCGAAGAATGCGACCCACAACAGTAAAAGAGAACCCGATTTGAACCTTACTCTATTGACTGTGAGACTCACCTACATTGACTGTGAGACTCACCTACTATCCTCTGCACTACGGATGACATATACTGCATTCTAGTTGTTGGCGAGGCAACATCATAGGAGACAACACATTTAAAATTCTGCGAAAGTGCCTGCATCTCAACGTACTGCGGAACCGCTGGCATTTTTCGAAATTTTCGCAGCGTTTTGTAAAAAGTCCTGCGGAATCCCGTTTTCAACCATTTTGACGCGAAAGTCCTGCGCAGGTTTCCTTCAATGTTCCCACTTTTGCAATAGCAAACAAAATGTGGAACCGTTGCAAATTTTGCTTGTCCTGCGGAATGCCGGTGAATTGTCTGGGAGTGTTTGCAATTAAGAATTTCTGGAATACAAGTAGCTCTTCTAAAAGTTCTCTCCAGTGTCGATTTTGCAGCTCGACAAGTACGGAACTTTTTTTGAGGTAAAGACTAATGGATTTCAATCTACAATACCGCTCAAAGTTTCTGAAAAAATGAGTCCGGGAGACTTGCGTCTCATCATCATATCTGGCTCGAAGAGAACGAATTCTCCAAAATTATTATGCAATTCAATTTGAAGCCGCTCATCTTCTGATACTAAGGCAGCGAGCTATTTCTGTCCTACAAAGATAGGAAAATCGAGACTTCCAGACGAGTACGAGTAAGGAAGTAAGTAAAGGCTGCTGCATGACGAACGCGCAGAAGCACTATTAGTTGAGCGGAAGCGAACGCGACGCGCGCGTATCCTCACCGTCTCTGCTCCTCATGCACTCTGCGGATAATCAAGCCGCGTCGCGCCCAAAGATGCTGCGCTTTCGTCATGCAGCATAAGTAAGTAGTAATTTCTGATTTACACCTGCCGTATCTCAATCTGCTTCTCTGCATATTTACAATATCTTCATAGTTTTCGAAAAAATAATCAACTTCAACGTTTTGAACTTACAATAGTTGCTGGTGCAGTAAGCTTCTACTATTTCCTCAGCTTTACATTTACATGGATTCTTAGGTTTAGATATGCAGCTGGAAATCATAGAAATACAGAAAATAAACGTTATCTTCATATTTCAGGGTGCAGGAGAAATCAGTCTTTTGGTTGCAGCACTAATGGTTGAATCTCCTGCTTGTCAGGGAATTTATCCAGTTTCACTTCTTTCAGAGAACAATTCGCAGTTCGCAGCATAACTCTTCACATTCTTGAGCAAATATGAGCTTGTAATTATTTAGTGCAATTTTAGGGCAACTTGTGGTGTAGAACAAGCTTGAAGGCAAAAAAAAAATACAACTTTGCTAGCAGAACTCGTCCGCAGTTTTTTTGAATCTTTATCAAATACTTGACCTTCACTTGTAAAAGTTGATAAGGAAGCGTGGAAAGCGTAATAATTCTGATAATTCTTGAAAACGGTTAGCAACTGTGGCTCTCAGGTTGCAAAGCAAGATCAGAGTATATTTTGTAAATTTTCTATGCAAATTGCACGAGCCGGCGTTGTAGCAGCTGAATACACTTTCTATATTCTGAACAAAAAGTAGTTGTTAAGGGTCAGAGCAGCGTTTGCATTCCCAATTTGTAGCCACTTCCATGAAGAGCTAAGTTTGCATTCCGAACTTGTAAGTGCGACCATTTCCATGTGGTGTAAGAGTTTTGGCACATTTTGTTCATAAAAAAAGTGAAAAAGTTTAAATAAAAAGTTCAGATCGAAGCCAAGGGAAGCACACATCTCGTTCGCGTTTCTTCCGTTAAGGAACGCGTACACGATATCTACGTTGGAAGACAAGTACTCCATATAATGACGTCTCCATATTGGTGTTGACATTAAAGCAAAATGGCTCTCATCGAGAACAGCCATTTTAAGTCCAAGCAAAAAGTTCAGATGTACAATGTAAAAAAGAAAACAGTTATGATACTTTCTTCGTCCAATCAGCTCAGTTTAGTCCAAACTGGTTAAAACGCACCTAATCAGGAAAAACTTTGTGAAACTTTCAAGTACGTTTTTGAAGATTCCCCACACATGATTTGAGACTTCATGTGCACAGTTTTCATGCCAGTCATGTGTTATCGTTTTATAGTCGTCCGTTTTATAGTCGAATTATTTCGTATGATCATAGGTGACATTGCACACACCGTCCATTTTTGGCGTTCCCATCCTGGATTCTTGGAGGAGGCAACCCTTCATGCAGGTGTTTTTAAAGTGTCTTCAACGTTTTCTTTTCTTTATAGGTACTATTCACGTCAAAGTGATACAAGCGATAGCAAGCGGTCAGTTTCCTGGCCTGTTTTGCGATTGCACATCCAGGATGAGGACGCCAAAGATGGACGGTGTGTGCGAATGCACACATGATCATGTAAAATGATTTGACTGTAGGCGGGCTACTTTCCTTGGTTCAAGAATAATAAACGTAAGCTCGCGCTAGATCTTATGGCAAGGACTAGTCTTCGTTTTCTCACAATTATCTCGTTTCAGCAAAGGATGAATAGCATTGATGAAAGAGCTGTGAGAACAGTTCACACCCCTTTAAAACTTGCAGTTTTATGAGACATGTTTAGAGCGTCACAAACGAATTTATCAGAAAGGTTTCCTAGGTAAAATATTTTATTAACAAAGGTTGACCTCTCAAGCGAAAATCTTGTATTTTTTTGCTTATCATTTTAAAACTTGAAGCACAATGACCAATGTATAGTGCGAACTAGACGGCTACATATCTTATCTCCATAATTATTCGAAGGACCACTTGAAACGAAATTATTTCATACATTATTTGACGGGGCTTACACTAACGGTGGATTTACTGCTTGTAAAGCGTTATGTGGCCCAATAGTCTTCAAACTGATTATCTATGTCATACCTTTTGTTTTGTAGATTATGACTTCTTTAGGTTCAAATAGTGACATAGTGTTAGAGCCATACTGTCATCTATATGTGGAATTATGATGTAACAAATGCTACAATATCATCAGCCTGTTGAAGTAGGAGGTCTTCCACGAGTTCTTTTGGATTTCTGCAATTGTTTATTCTGAGATGGTCTGTCGATGTTGTAGAAGAGTTCTGTATTGAATGCCTCAAACTTCTTCCTTCCAGCCTTTTCACTACATTTTTGAGCAACTATTGAATATGATTTTATTAACAGCATACGTGTAATGACAATAATGTACAAATACTTGAGGTGTCGAGGTAGAATCGCGCAGATTCTGGCGTTTGTGCTTACTCTGGAATGACAAATATATAAAAGAGAAATAAAGGCCAAAAGAGACCAAAAATCACTCACTCCTAAGCACACATCCGCCGGCAACCGGTGTGTAGGCCGGTGAACATTGACACACTCCAGCTGAGCACATCGCACCGGCTACACATGGTGCTGGAGCAGCATAACATGGAGTTCCGAGGGCTAGCTGCAAAATTAAAAATTCAGAAAGCCGAGGGGAAGAGAGAAAAGTTTGTCAAAAGTGGGCATTCTAAACTCACTGGTGCAACTGGAACACTTGGAACAACCATGGCTGGCGGCGGTAGAACACTATAGATGGTTCGGCTGATACAGACGGTACCTTCCTGAACGAGTTCTGGTGGGCAGGCGCACATACCCATTGAGCAGACTGAGCCTCCTGTGCATTCAACTCCAGGTTCACATGGGGAGCCGGGGAGGGCCTAGATTTACTTTCATTGTTGATATTCCCTCTTCGGGTAAATTATCCTACCTGTGGGATCAAGCGTCCTGCGACTACTGGTGCTGGTGCTACTGGAGGTGGAGCTGGTGCTACCGGAATAGGAGCACATCCAACAACAGGACTATAGACGACGGCTGGTTGGGCACATTGGCAAGCGCCGGAGATGCATCTGCAAGAAGATTATATCAATTTCGGGATTAAATTAATTTCAGTTCAGAAAAAAAATCGAACTGGTACATTCATAACTTTTTTGATCGTTGTGTCTCATGGACTTAATGCATGTTCCACAAAATAGAAGTGCTTACAAGGAGAGGATACTTAGTCGAAAGCACCAATCCAGATGATGCATATATCATCTGGACGTGCTCGGAGCGCTGATTTCAAATCTGGCAAAATCAGCTGCGGAGCGCCTTTGGGCAACGAGTTATGGTTGTTTTTGTGAAGAAAATTTGAAGTCGAGGGAAGAAAAAAATTATACGCAGAAGTCTCCAGTTGGGCTCGAATGGGGGAGTGATGTCTGTCAGATTACTCTGCGCAAAGAGAAATGTCTGTCTGCTATACACACATTTAAAATGAGTCTGTCTGCAAAATATACATGTTGTAACAATCACTTTTACTCTCTCTACCCATTGAATTTTTTGGCTCTTGAAACGGTCATAGCTCCTTACCCAAAGGCGCTCCGCAGCTGATTTTGCCAGATTTGAAATCAGCGCTCCGAGCAGGTCACAATGATATATGTCTCATCTGGATCGGTGCTTTCGACTAAGTATCCTTTCCTTGTTAGAGGCAGGGAGGGAAAATTGAAAGGGTTTGGAAAAAAAAGGGGAGCAGACTCTTGTTTTCTAATTCGAGTAAAAATGCCTTTTCACAATTATTCTGGAGGGATGGTTTGAGTTAAGAAAGCAAAAGAAAAACTTACGCAGCTCCTCCTACACATCCTGGATTACACATTGGTGCAGGCGGTGGTGCTACTGGTGCTGAAATAAGAATTTCGCTTTTCAGAATTCCCTCAAAAGACGTTGTCTTTACCATATTGTGCAACAGCCATAGCAAAAAGTGTAGATGCGATGATTAGAGACATGTCGAGGATGGCGGAATTCCGGAATGCAGTCAGCTTTTATATTCCGGCCCCACGGCCATTCCGCACCTTTTCAACGCCACTCCTTCGGAGCCGCGCGGAAATCCTCTGACTTGAAACATAAACAAACATATAGTGATGAGTGTAGTTTCGAAATGCTGAAAGAGATGGCAAAGGAAACTTTAACTTAGATACATACAACTTCTTTTTACTCCATTGAATTTTCTGCCTTCCTGCTTAATAAGTGGTGCTTTTAATATTCGCTTCGTCATTGTCCACTCTCTTGAAGAGCAAACATTCCAGAGGCCGTCAAATAACCGCCAAGCAAACAAATAGAACATAGCAACATTCATGTTCCACGATGGCTAAAAACGCCAGAACTCCAAGTCACTCCTTATCCTTCAAATTCGTAGGCAAATGTAATGCCAATCTATATACGGAAAGACAAAGCAATCATAAATGATGTTGATAGCATACATAAATGACAAGTCTGTTAATCTGCACCCTGAGGTCACCAAAGGAAGCCTACCCACCACGTCCTTCAAAAGTTCTGTTATGGAAACAGAAGCAGTATTCTATCCATCTTTTTTTTAATCAAATTCTCATTCACTCCCAACTTCTAGGCTCACTCTAATTTTGTCTAGCCTATTAATTTTTCATCTACATGAAATCTTTTATAAGCGGCTCGTTCCGTGTTAGACTCATAAGCGTTTATGTTGAGAGAATGGCTGCTTGCCCAATTTTGAACTGTAAACAAGCCTTGGCCAAGACTCAGTACATATATTTTTCTTGAAAATGTTTGAACAACGTTGAAATTTTTCATTTTCAACATTTTCATATTCAACATTTTCATTCTTAAAGGAAACCATTTGACTCAGCTCGGCGCGTCGAGTCAAGATTTTCGCAACCTTACATTATTAAACTTGGAAATGTTTAATCACGTAAGGTTTGAAAATCATAGGTATCCACTTCTGCTTTAAGAAAAAAATTATGATAATTCGCTTCATGGCGCAGTCTGTACTCAACCACACCTAAAATCTTCCTCAGGCTTTATAGAAGTACTCATACCTAAGGGTATGCTGTACGTACGAAGAGGTATGTACTCTTTGTATTTTGAGGCAAATTATTCTTCGAATTAGCACAGAATATTATTCAAAGTAAAAACGGAGCAACATTTGTGCCTCAGCATAATGCTGTTCTGTAAAGGCAGGTAAAAGAAGACTTTCGCAATTATTTCTGAATCTATCAATCATTAACCATCACGGTAGATACAAACAAACGCTTGAAAGGAATTTTTCATAACTACTTTTTGTATGATGTAGTACTTTGATTTCAAATGTAGCTCTGCACACATTTGTCTTCTACAAGATGACAGTAGAACGCTGCCTTGCTGGATTGTGCTAATGAACCCATTTTAGAAAGTGTGAGAAGCCAAGTTGGTTCAGCTAAGAACAACTTGTAAACACAAGAGGTTAAACAGAAGAAAAAGAGGACCCAAGAGCACAAACTGTGTATCTGACAATGCATATGTATTGATTCTGGTAATCGAAGAAAATTATATTGGATGTCCATTTCGTCCTCATCTTTTATTCCAGTAATCTTTCTTAAATCCTAGCTTTAGGATATTTTTCAGTGGGACAAGTTGAGCTCTATGTGGTAGCGGCCAAACTTTTGCACAACGTAATTCCACATTAACTCAAAAACGAAAATCTAAAAACTTTTAAAAACCTGAATCGAAAGATCACAACTTGGCTAAAAATCCCTAGAGCGAAAATGTTGTGCATAGTGGTACAAAACCAGTACACCCTTGTGTAATATCCAACTTCTCGATGCTTTAAATGAACCCTTTTCTATTCACTACCGATATATCTTGTCACTAAATAATTCACCAATGCAGCAGAACTTCCCATGCCATGGGTTGTGTAGATGTTTTTTTACGCTTACAGTAATGTGTGTAGTCAATATGGTCAAACAATCGTGAAAATAAGGTTTTTTTCGAAGATCTTGTCAGTAAAGATTAGGTGTTGCATCATCCAATAGAAGACCATAATTTTGACATAATTATTGCCTTCGCTTCCTTGACCGGGCGAATTTTCTGTCCGGTTCTTTCCTCTTCTCTTCCGTCGCTTAATCTTCAGATCACACTTGGGCGCGAGTTTCAAATTCTGTTTGCATTTTGCACAACGTTCCGGTCGCGTCTTTTGAGTCGAAATGTTTGCTGAAAAGAGCGCGACAAGGAGCCAACAATTCGACGAGGTACACTGAGACAGCGAGGGTCATACATTGGTCATTTGAGCGCAAATTAGATAATCTGTAACTGCTGATATGATATTTTGAAAACATTTGATCGCTCTTGTAAAATAAGTTATAAAATTCAAGGGAGTAGATTGTGATTTTTTTTATTTGAGTCTGGCCATTTTATATTAGGTCATTCCGAAAGTAATTTCGCTTTTTTCAAACGGGCGCCACAATCGATGGAACCAAGATTTCTGAGAAGTTTTGGTACATTCGAAACAGCATTTCATTCTCTTTCTAATGTTACGAAACTGTTGCAAAACAGTCAATGAGCTTTCAGAAAATAACCAAAATCTGCGACCTATGCTTTTTGAGATAGTCAAGTTTCACAATTTTTTTAAACTTCCATATCAATTCTCAGAAGAAGTTTAAGTAACGATTCGATAGAGTAAAGCTCATAGAATACAGTGCTGCTTTTTTCTCTTTTACATAGCTTTTCATACATTTTTAACAGAATTTTAACTGATGCTACCGATTTCCATACTTGGACAGCTAAATCCTAGTAGAAAAACCTTGAGTAGCTCGGGTGTCATTCGATGCAGCTTTTTCTCCTCTTTCTGATGGGTGTTTTTTGTTTCCGATTCGTTTAGTTTCCGGGGATAAAATCATCATAACTAATTTTTTTAGGGAGCCCCAGGCTGTACCGGAAAAACTCGAAATTTGATATTTCGAACCCGTAAACCTTCACTTGCTTTGTAAAATTAATGCTAACTCATATTACCATCTTGGTAGTCTCAAATTCCGAAAAATTAATATGTTTGATGCGATTGTGGTTGAAGTGGGCCTGCCAAAATTCGATGGTTCTGCTAAAAAATCTTTCAAAAAATTACGGCGAGCTATGAGAAAGGGGAAAAAGTAGCACTATATTCTATGAGCTTTAGTCTATCGAATCTTTACTTGAACTCCTTTTGAGGATTGATATGAAAGGTTTAAAAAATCGTGAAACTTGACCATCTCAAAAAGCATGGGTCGCAGATTTTGGTTATTTTCTGAGAGCCCATTGACTGTTTTGCAACAATTTCGTAACCATTGGAAAGAGAATGAAATGCTGTTTCGAATGCTTCCAAGATCCCTTAAAAACCTTTGTTCCATCAGATGTGGCGCTCGTTTGAAAAAAGCGAAATTACTTTCGGAATGACCTAATATATAGATTTACAAATGATGAAGGTATAATGACTGCTATCACTATAGCGTTTTTAAGTGTCTTGAGCCAAAACACCTGCGCATAAAAATGATTACAACAATGCGGTCTGAGTTTTCTTTACGCAAATGTGTTGCTGGCACCGCAGGGGCACCACATCTTCAATCTACTGTGCTATTGTTCAACTTTCACTACAAAAAAGCTCGAGGCTGTTTGTAGTAATCATCAATCCATTATATTAATATTTTTGGTACTGCTTTGTTTTGCCATTTATTCAAAAATAGTGAAAACAAACGCTTGTATTTACTTATCCACATTGAAGGCAGTGCCCAGACAAATGGACCTATGGGGATTTTACGAAGAAAGTAATTTTGAGGGTCCTAGCTAAAAACCACTGCCCAACCGGCAGATCAGGTAGTGCTGTAACGGCTGAGAAATTCCTCATGAAACTACACCCCAAGATCGTATTAGCATGGATCCATGGCGCAACCCATCAGTTTCGCGCGAGGACCCACGGGTTGCGCCATGAATCCATGCGAAATACGGCTCTGGGGTCCAGTTTCAAGGGAATATCTCAGCCGTTAAAGCACTACCTGAGCTTCCGGTTGGGAAATGCCTTAATTAGGGCTCAAAATTACTTTTCTCGTAAAATCCCCATCGGTCCAGATTCGCCTGGACACTGCCTTCAATTAATTTGAGATTTTTGCGATATATTGCCTCCTCCAATGACAAAAGTAGCTCGGCTCTGCATATGCTTGGGTCTAACATTACGAAGATCTCAAATTCCAGTGAATAAGAGCAAAGAAATAGTTTTGCCCAAGACTTCCACTTTTTCTTAACTAGAGTAATTTCTGGCACTGTCAAAATCGCAGAGGTCTAAAAGAATAGTGTAAAAGCTCACAAAGAAGATTAATGATAGGTATTTTTTACAATACCGTTTTGGTCTTTGCCCCAACCAAACGGAGTCTGCTTCGACTCCAACACCTTTATTTTTTCCCCTGCCCGGCAAGTGCTGGCTTGGAGCACTTTTTAAAAAAGATCGCCACCTTACAATTTTCTAAAACTTTTTTTGGATCATTGTGGGAGCGAAATAACAATTTGTTACAGAATGGTCAATAGTCATGACAGAGACTTCAATCCAATTCTGTAAATATCGGAAAGATTGAAGGTTTGTGTCAATGACCTGCCACCAAGTCTAGATGCCATGTAAGATATAGCACAAGACATGTAAGTTAGAAATATTAGTGATGATGCAGTTTTAACAATTGAAACTTACCAAGCAGTGATAGTCAAGGTGCTCCATCTCTTATACATGACATATACTAAAAGCTTTGCATTTTCGTAGTTTCTAGTTCTCATCAAAGTTTTAATTTAAGAATTGGAGCGTATGTCCTTATCATTCTTCTTGTTGAATAGACAACTACTGTTCCGCCACATTACATTGAGGTCTAGCACAAAATTCATACACTGAGGCTTAGCCCAAAATTCATGAAAGCGATTTGTTTTCGGGAACAGAAAGCAGAATTGATATCTTTTATTTGTCTCTTCTAGCCGAAATCGATAACGACGGCTCCGGAAGAACTTAAGCTTAGGTACAGAGGTACCTAACAATTTTTTTTGGTCAAAGAAGGCAGTCACAATTATTCAATCCAATTGAGCTTGGTGTCTTATAAAAGTTATTATCATAAAGCATGTCCTTTATACATCATCCTGACGTCAAAAAGTCATTTGCTAGATCCAAATGTAATGCTAAAATGATCAATGGCTTACAGGGCTTATCAAACGCAGTGTCGCTTGCATCAGCATTTTCACTCCCGCGCTGGACTCTGCGTCTCTTCTGCGAACATGCTCTTTGATCAATTTTCCAGAGCGAACGTGGGAAAGGCGGAGCCCCAATCGATTGGAAGTGATCATAGAGCATGTTCGCCGAAGAGACGCAGAGTCCAGCGCGGGAGTGGAGATGCTGATGAGCGGCACTGCTTTTGATAAGCGCCCTGTACCTATAGTTCATGGGCAATCAAATTACGCCAAATTGGAATCACAAATATTTTTTACCAATAATACTTTAAAACTAACCATGACAAAGGGCCGTCACGGAGCGTACCACTAAGAGTTCATTCATTTTCTAAGGATTTTTAGTGTTTTTTTTGCGTTGTGAAAATTTGTCGTCCTACGATGAGACCCATCCAAAGCGCTGCCCCATCCTCTTTGGTTGAGCTACAAATTCATTTATTAGCAACTCAATTGAAGTAATCCCCCACAATGGTCGGTCGCCTCATCGTGGCGTGGGGGTGACACTGGGTGTCGAACTGCGATGCACAGCCGAGTGTATACTCTGGTAGGGCCTCCCAAGCTGTGAAGGAGTTCGACGTTTCCGGTTTCGGCCGGATGCCTAGCTAAGAACTGGCCGCGCCAGATTCTCCGCCGTCTGGCTTCTTCTGGTCGCTAGGCGGTCCCTCCCCGCTCCAAGCCCGGGGTCAGCGATCACCCCGTGGAAATCAAGAGTAGGCCTAGTAAGCCACCTCTTGTAGGGGAACAAATTTTATTACTCAGACAGCAAGAAGATTTAGAAAAAACCCTGTACATCGGATCCCGCCTACGGCGCCGGGTGGTAGCAAGAACGATGTCAGGGTACTCAGGGCGCCTTTCGGATTGGACAAAAACGACACGTCTGCCCGGACGACACGCCATGGAGACTGCCTCATGCTCTGCACTTACAACGCCAGGACAGTCTCCACAAACGCCGACCTCCACGCTCTTCTCGACGTTGCAGAGCACATCAACTACCACATCATTGCTCTGCAGGAAACGAAGTCCAGGAAGAAGGACGTGCGACAGATGAGTGATGGGACCCTCATCATTCGTGGTGAAAAGGTTCCATCACGAAACGTGGGAGGCGTCGGCTTTGTCGTCCACCCATCTACCGTCCATCTTGTCGATTCGCACGAGATCCTATCACCTCGACTAGGCATCCTACGACTACGACCTCCACATCAGAAGACCATCAGCATCATCAACTGCTATTCTCCAACATCAGCAGCTGACGAATCAGAACTAGATGCTTTCTACGAAGATGTGGAGGAGGTCGTCCGCAACGAGAAGTCCTTTTACAAGTTTGTTGTGGGCGACTTCAACGCGAAAATCGGGATGCCACTGGAAAGGGAATATAGGATCGGGAAGTTTGGATATGGGCTCCGGAACGAAAACGGCAACCGTCTTGTTGGGCTTCTCTCCGCCGCACGACTTTTCCATGGAAATTCCATCTTTATGAAGAAGGAACATCGCCGGTGGACATGGGAATCGCCCAACGGAACGACCCACGCGGAGATCGACCACATTCTCACCAACCGAAGGTGGAGCTTACTCGATGTCTCTGTAGTTCCATCCTTCTGTAGTGGCTCCGATCACCGCCTCCTTCGAGCGAAGATACGACTCAGCCGAAGGCTGGAAAAGAAAGTCTGTCATAGTGCCGCGAGAAGGAAGGAAGTCGTTTATGACGGTAACAGGCTGGAAGAGCTCATATCAAGTTGTGACTGGCCCATCGAGGAGGACCCAACGTACGACTACGACCGGCTTCTGAAAGGATTGCGAGCCTGCGGAGAATGCGCCTCAGTGACTTCTGAGAAGAACTTGGACCGCATCTCGAAGACCACCAAGGAATTGCTCGAAAGAAGAAGATCATTGAGGCAGGATCCGAATGCAACTCATCTCGAGCGACTGATTGCCAACACCAGTTGCAGAACAGCTTTGCAAGAGGATCTCAGGAAGTACAGGCAAGCCAAGATACTGGAAGCAGCAGAAAGAAGACGAAGTCTCAAGAAGTGCCGAAGGGACCTCTGCGAATATCACGTACCGCTGGCTGCACTACTGAACGAAGACGGGACTCCGACTTCTTCCCGATACAAGATGGAATCTATCGCGAAGAACTTCTACACCAACCTCTTCCGCTCATCAACACCCGTGCAGATGCCCGTGGTTCCCACTGGAGAAGCACCACCACGAATTCTACCTGCTGAAGTGCGTATCGCGATACAGACCATGAAGACGTCCACGGCTCCAGGACCAGATCATCTTTCCGTCGAACTTCTGCGAGCCGGAGGACACCGTCTACACGAGATTCTAGCGTCGCATTTGACATCTTACCTTCAGAAGGAGAAGATTCCCGACCAGTGGAGAACGTCAAGAACCGTCCTTCTCTTCAAGAAGGGTGAACGGGAGGATCTTCGGAACTATCGTCCAATATGCTTGCTGAGTGTGCTGTACAAGCTTTTCACGAAGATTATCCTCGCTCGCATATCAAGGACACTGGATGAAGCCCAACCCCAAGAACAAGCTGGATTTCGCAAAGGATTCAGCTGCATGGACCACATCCAGACTGTTTCGAGGGTCATAGAAGTCTGCCGGGAGTACCGACTGCCTCTCGTCCTAACCTTTGTCGACTACGAGAAAGCCTTCGACAGCGTCGAAACCAACGCCATCCTGTCTGCGCTAGTCGATCAAGGAGTGGACCCAGCTTACGTGAGGACGTTAGCCGACTGCTACAAGGACTGTACAACGACGATGCAGCTATTCCATCGCCCCCTGACCATACCAATCGGGAAGGGGGTCCGACAAGGCGACACAATCTCGCCGAAGCTGTTCACCGCGGCCTTGCAGTGGGTGATGAAGTCACTGGACTGGGACGAGAGAGGCATACGAGTTGATGGGAGATTCCTGTCCAACCTTCGTTTTGCGGACGACATCGTTCTCTTCTCGAGCAGTATCACCGAAGCAGAGACGATGCTGAAGGAACTAAACGAAGTAGGGAAGAAGATCGGACTGCGAATAAATCGGAAGAAGACTCAGTTCATGAAGAACGCCCTTTGCGAAGATGCAGAAATGGAATTGGAAGGCACCCCGATTATGGAGACGTCTTCCTACGTGTATCTCGGACGTTCGATGAACATGGAGAACGACTTGAGGGAAGAACTCAACAGGAGAAGAAGAGCAGCCTGGGCCGCCTTCGGGCCCCTGAAGGAAGCCACCGACCAACTGACGGACCCGGAGCTTCGTGCCCACCTGTTCGACTCAACCGTTCTCCCGGCGCTCTGTTACGCAGCTGAGACTTGGGCCGACACTGTAGCCACGTCGAAAGCTTTACGGACCACCCACAGAGCGCTCGAGCGCAGTCTTCTGAAGATGACCCGACGCAAGCAACATCTAGTCGGACTTCGCAGCACGGATATGAGAAGAATGTCTCGTCTTCGTGACCCAGCGGAATACGTCGCGAAAGCCAAACACCGATGGGCCGGTCACATAATGAGAAGAACAGACGACAGATGGACACTAAGAACATCGGAGTGGATTCCTCGCGAAGCCAAACGTCCCCGAGGAAGACCTCCAACGAGATGGGCAGACGTGTTCGTGGAACGGATGGACCAGCTGAGAAATCAGCTGGATACGATTTTTGCACCTGGAACTCGTGGACGCAGCCACCGACGTCAGCCAAGAAGATCGTGGATGTCAGAAGCGAGGGACAGGGAAAAATGGAAACTTCTGAGCTGGGGCCCGCACGTCACGTGAAGCCGGGCCATCTAAGTATCTAAGTAAGTAATTGAAATAATTGATTGATACAAGCAGCGGCTTGGGGCCAAGAGGTTAGTTCTGCTTGAAGCAACTTCTTGGTTACCATCTCCAGTTTTTGTTTAACCGTAAAATTTAATGACTTCTCTCGTTTAGCTTTGCTTGAAATCTGGGATGAAATTAAGACGTTCCAATGTGTTTTAATAACAACGCAATCGACCAAGATTATCATGACCGAAAGAAATGAGAGATGAATTTTGCGAGAAAATTTTGCAAAGCTTTCACTTTGGAAGTTTGGCAGAAGGCAGAAGTTTGTCAGTACCTATTGCAAACTCGCGGTGGATTGTGCGATTCCCGTGGCGGAAATGGAACTAAAATTACAATAATATCAGATATAAGCAATTTAATACGCTGAAAAAGAAGGAAAAAAGTCACTATAAACGAACTTTTCCATGATGTTGTTCTCCATGACTTCCGTGATGTTGTTCTCCATGACTTCCGTGATGTTGTTCTCCATGACTTCCGTGATGATGTTCTCCATGACTTTTCTCAACCTCCTTGGGCGGCGTTGTCGACGCAGATGCGAGTAAAATTGCAAGAACGAGCCCCTTCAAAATCCACATTGCTGATATAATCTGTAAAAGTAGGAAGATAGTACTTTGGATTATCGTTTAGCATATTTAAGAAAGTCTTTTACTCATGCATAACTTTTGAAGATTAAGAGAACTGTTGAGGAGAATTTTTATTGTAATTTTTCAAAGAAATACTTTAGTTATTAATTGTGCAATTTGATCAGATTCTCTTATTTTTTTTCTTCTGGTAATTCAACGCAACCCATTTTCGTAAAAATTACCAATAAATTTAGGAATATTATGTATTTTCTGAGCCTACTATGGTGTGCAAGTTGGTTTTATGATAAGGCTATCAATGAAAAATTCAGCGAGATTTTTCTTTTCACTGTTGCCGCTTTGGTCTTTCTGAATTCAGTTTTCGAAGAGAGTGGAATTCCGAAAAATTACCAATAATAAGTAAGACGTCTTTGCTCAGCAAGAGGAAACAAAAAACAGGCATATTTAAGGTTGTGCAAAAGGCCAAGCAGGTCCCGCACTTCTCGTTAATAAATTAAGTAAGAAGTTAACATAAACAATTGAAATTCTTTAGTAACGGTAAGAGCTTAGCTCTTAATCCGTGATCAGATTTCTGGCCTTTGTACCTCATCGCTTTGCGATTTCTTTACTTTAACAGTGACCTCAATGTATTATTTGATTTGGTCTACAGGTTAAAAAAGGAAGATATCTTATTGAGTGATTCTAACTTCTAAAAGAAGTTGTTCAGTGTCTACGTAACACCAAGATCGTGGCGGATATAAAAATTTGCAGTACCTATCTCATTACAACTTCCAGTAACAGTTCTAATAGTTACAAAGTATTGCATTGATCGAATGCCCTAGGGTGAGTTGAAAGTAATGATTATTTTGCAAGACTAGCCCCAAATCGTCTTATCTGTAAAACGCTTATCCTTAATTTCTATATCATTTTTTAGAGGTGCATCGTGCCTGGAGATAAAGGGCCGGGCATAATTCACGCGATTTCAGTCGCGACACAATTTGGCAATTCGTCAGAACTCTTCAGATCCAATATTAGTAAACTGCACATGCATTGTGTGTATAACGTGAGTGAATTGACAAAATGTCCTACTGCCCTTCTGTACATCTAAAACCTGCTTACAGTGAGTCATGGACAGTTGAAATATTGCCAACTCGCGTCGCGATTGAAATCGCGTGAAGTATGCCCGGCCCTTGAGTGTATCCTCATCCGTCTACGATGGACTGGCAACTTTAGCATGGACCCCGGAAAAGTTGCGATTAGTGCACTTCTACGCCTCTATTGTAAAAAAGGTGTAGGCGCAGAATAGGCAATGTATGTGATGTTGAGGGTCCGGGCGCGATTCAGAAATTAAAGCCTATAGATGGTATACTCGGTGTTGGATCAGGAGGACACGAGTCTTCAAGATGAGTACTATCGGCAGACAAGCAACTGAAGATTCTGATCTCGAAATCAAGCTTCAGCCCTATAAACGTCTGAAATCCATTTGAAAGTAAGCTTGAAGATAGAATTGTAAATCGCAATTTGCTTGCCTATGAAAAAGATACTCAATCTCTTTGAGAGCGTGTCCATTTAAAAATTTGCATATCGCAAATACATTGTCTCATAGAGCATCCACATCTCCACACAAAGAATTTTATAAAATGCTGACTAAATTCAAGCGCAGCTATCAAATTGAGAAATAATGAAAGTCTGGCGGAAAGTTTGCTGATCTTTTATGAAAGAGTGAGACTGATACAATTATTGGAAACGATGGCGCATAGCGGTATGAGGTGCCGCTATGAACACGTATGACCGGAGTTCGACTTCGTCCGTAAGCCAAACAAACACTTCTACACTCCGGAGACGGTAAATCATACCAGAGCGACTTGGGAGGATAGAAGACTGACTTGGTAACCTGGTGGTTCCAGCAAGACACTGTAAAAAACCTGCAGTAGCCCTGATTGACTATGATGTAAAATGCGCTCGGCGCATGCTTGCACGCCGAAGCCTTGTTCCCCTCTATAATACGGATAAGTTGCACCTCCAGTTCCAGTCCAGAAATTATTATTTTTCAACTCTGGAATTGTCGAACGAAAAAGAAAATTGGCTGTAGAATAAAAAAGAATGTCTTTCCGCTACATTTTGCTATCCCATTTATGCTGTGAGATGCCCACTTCAATTTCTGAAAAAAAAAACGCAGGGTTGCCCGATTCATGTGACGTCACCGTAGCGTGGCCATATCTCGCTTCAGAGTGGAGGAATTCTTAATTCACGGAAACCGCTAGACTCAGCTTGACGCGGAGCACTTTCTAATACATAGAGGTGCCCGCTTGGACACAGCAGGAGGTCCCATAAATCGTTTCAAATTTGCTTACAGTAGGTTACTCAGTGTGTTTATTCGTCGCACTCACTGGGCGATCTACCGTGAGCAAAAATGTAAACGATTTATAGAATCTGGCCTGCTACTGGTGTCCAAACGGGCCTTCTATATACCGGCAGACGCGCCGAGCTGAGTCAAATGATTTCCTTGAAGAATTGAGGCGAGATATGGCCACGCTTGTGATGTTACTTGAGTCGGGCGACTATGCATCTTTTTTTTCACAAATAACAGGTGGTATTGTAGCTCAAGAGCTTTGAGCTACTACGACGCATTCAGCGATTCGAAGCTGATCTTTGATTTTTTGGATGAACTATCTGCCAAGTAAGCTTTAACTTTTAGCTGTTGCCACAAAGTACATCTTTCAGATAAGTATTATCAGAAAAGTTTTCAAACACGTTACCATCTTTGATGCTGCATGGATCCTGAGCAAGCACATGCTCATGAATAATGCATCAAAAAAATTATCGTCGTCGGCACACATGTTCTTGAGCAGTCTCTCGATATAGATTTTGATCTTCGTGTTACCGCTATCGGTCTGCGAACAAGAAAAACTTCACGTATCCTAGAGCAGTGCAGTCACCAAACCTTTAAGCCTACATCGAACGACTCACATGCATGTGAATTCAAAAGCATCTCGGAAATGTTCATACCCAGCTGAAAAGCGTCTTAATGTCCCCAAGACAGCAGCTAATGTAGGTTATTGTATAACAGCGGCTCCCACAATTGTCGGCCGCCTCAGAGTGGCGTGGGTTGGCACTGGGTGTCGAACTGCGATGCACAGCCGAGTGTATGCTCTGGTAGGGCCAAGCTGTGAAGGAGTTTGACGCTTCCCGTTTCGGTCGGATGCGTAGCTAAGAGTCGGCCGGGTTAGATCTCCCGCCGTCTGGTTTTCTAATCGCTAGACGGTTTCCCCGCTTCACATTCAGCGATCGCCTCTTGGAAACCAAGAGTTGGCCTAGCATGTCTGCTCTTATAGGGGAACCATTTATATTTCTCGGTCATTTAGAAGAACAGAAAAAACTTTGCACATCCGATATCACCTACAGCCAGGGTACTAGCAAGAACGATGTCAGGGTGCTTAGGACGCGTTTTACTTACTTACTTAGATACTTAGATGGCTCGTCCTCACGTGACGTGCGGGCCTCAGTACAGAAGTCGCCAGTTTTCCCTGTTCCTCGCTTCAGACATCCACGATCTTCTTGGCCGTCGTCGGTGGCTGCGTGCACGAATCCAGGGGCGAAAGTTGTATCCAGCTGATTTCTCAGCTGGTCCAACCGTTCCACGAACACGTCTGCCCATCTCGTCGGTGGTCTTCCTCGAGGACGTTTGGCTTCGCGAGGAATCCACTCCGATGTTCTTAGTGTCCATCTGTCGTCTGTTCTTCTCATTATGTGACCAGCCCATCGGTGTTTGGCTTACGCGACGTATTCCGCTGGCTCACGAAGACGGGACATTCTTCTCATATCCGTGCTGCGAAGTCCGACTAGATGTTGCTTGCGTCGGGTCATCTTCAGAAGACTGCGCTCGAGCGCTCTGTGGGTGGTCCGTAAAGCTTTCGACGTGGCTACAGTGTCGACCCAAGTCTCAGCTGCGTAACAGAGCGCCGGGAGAACGGTTGAGTCGAACAGGTGGGCACGAAGCTCCGGGTCCGTCAGTTGGTCGGTGGCTTCCTTCAGAGGCCCGAAGGCGGCCCAGGCTGCTCTTCTTCTCCATTTAAGTTCTTCCCTCAAGTCGTTCTCCATGTTCATCGAACGTCCGAGATACACGAGGAAGACGTCTCCATAATTGGGGTGCCTTCCAATTCTATTTCTGCATCGTCGCAAAGGGCGTTCTTCATGAACTGAGTCTTCTTCCGATTTATTCGCAGTCCGATCCTCTTCCCTACTTCGTTTAGTTCCTTTAGCATCGTCTCTGCTTAGGTGATACTGCTCGAGAAGAGAACGATGTCGTCCGCAAAACGAAGGTTGGACAGGAATCTCCCATCAACTCGTATGCCTCGCTCGTCCCAGTCCAGTGACTTCATCACACACTGCAAGGCCGCGGTGAACAGCTTCGGCAAGATTGTGTCGCTTTGTCGGACCCCTTTCCCGATTGGTATGGTCAGGGGACGATGGAATAGCTGCATCGTCGTTGTACAGTCCTTGTAGCAGTCGGCTAACATCCTCACGTAAGCTGGGTCCACTCCTTGATCGACTAGCGAAGACAGGATGACTTTGGTTTCGACGCTGTCAAAGGCTTTCTCGTAGTCGACAAAGGTTAGGACGAGAGGCAGTTGATACTTCCGGCAGACTTCTATGACCCTCAAAACCGTCTGAATGTGGTCTATGCAGCTAAATTCATTGCGAAAACCAGCCTGTTCTTGGGGTTGAGCTTCATCCAATGTCCTAGAGATGCGAGGCGAGAATAATCTTCGTGAAAAGCTTGTACAGCATACTCAGCAGGCATATTGGACGGTAGTTTCGAAGGGGAGACGGTCAAGAGGCGCGATTTCTTTGGCTGTCACCAACTTAAAACTCTAGTTTAGTGCTATGCAAGTCTTTAGAAATTACCAGATAAACTGCATTAGCTTACTATCTGTCTGAAGTCACTACTTGCTAAGTTTCATGGTTTTTGCTCTGAATCGGACTGAAATATTTACGAATTTGTTCTGAAATGCATTTTCATGAGTTT